TCCCTAGACTGTACATGCCATTTGGCTTGGGGAACAGAACGCACGATGGGACAACCTCAAAGATATCTCTCCAGACGGGATCTCTTACTTGGGTGATGTGTCTGCTCACCTGACTGTCTTCATACCCAAAGGATTTATTTTCCCTTTGGAAATATTTTAAGTTAAAATCTTGTTCCTTACTGGAAACTGTCTACAGTAAAGACTGCACGCATCATGGGTGATATGGCAAACAACTCGGTTGCATATAGTGGTGTAAAAAATGCTGTAAAAGAAGCTAATCATGGAGATTTTGGAGTTACTCTTGCAGAGCTCCGTTCTCTCATGGAACTTCGAGCTACAGATGCACTCCATAAAATACAGGAATGCTATGGAGATGTACATGGCATCTGTACAAAATTGAAAACTTCACCAAATGAAGGTAAGTCAATTTTAACACTATTATTGAGGAAATTCCATTTAGGAAGAATCTTAGTCAAGCAAACTACTTCTTTTTTTAGTACAACAAAGTTTATAAAAGTATTCCAGTTACCATAGTTAAATATTGCTTCTTACCCCTCTAAGGCAGAAGTATTCAAGGGTAATAAGTAAGCAAGAGGTTTTTTTCAATTGATCTAACTGTATGCGAGATGTTAGATTAGTGGTGAAGTTGCACTTTGGAATAAAGTTCATTGACGTAGGCATCCACGTATGAAATAGCAAGGCAACATAGCAGTGTTTCTCTTACTGTGGAAGTGCAAGTTTTGTGAATAGCTCGTATGACCTATAGTTCGCAATTCATATCATGCTTTGGTAGAACACAAGGTTTTAATAGTCTAATGCAGGGCTTATTAATGCTTCTGTGTTGCTACCAAGTTCTTATATTCCCTAATGCAACAATTTTTAAAACTGGTGACATGTATTTTCTATTTTTACGACATTGAATTCTTAAAAGCAGAATCTAGTTTTTGAATCTATAGTATTGCTGTGGCTTTCACTCGATCTATACAAAATAACTATCAATACAGCTTTAGACACTAAGAGATACTGTCACTTTTAGCAGAAGGTTTGCAAAGTGATCACATAATCCTGTTCTCTAGAAATAAGCATCTTTAAAGAAGTCTTTGCTATGTTGAACTTGATGGCATTCTGTGAAGTGTGGCTACTTGATACTTTTGCTGTCTAGAATCATTACTCCAAGATAGACTGTACAAATGTGAAGAAGGAAATAAATGTATCAAGTCTCCTTCCTGAGAACTTTCCAGAAGTTCTCCTTAAGATCTGGCCCTCTCTTACTATTTTCTTCCAATGTAAATGAAAGCTATAAGCTTTAATTTGTGAAAGAAGATGCAAGTCATATCGCTTAAGATATCCAAACAGTAGTATCCTGTACAAATATTTTTACATATTCTTATTCAATGTTAACTCTAACTTAGTGTGAAATCCTGCTGTTGATAGTGATAGAGAAGTACCAAAATCAAGATTTTGGCAAATTGCGGTGTCTCGGCATTTAAGCACTCTTAGCTTTTAACCAATGTGGTGTCATGTTGGTGGCAGTAAAGTACCTGCTGTCTTAATCCTGGAGAGCCGTTGCTTTCTGTTCTTCAGAAATGCTATGGCAAGTTTTGTCTGCCTGAATCAGGAACAACCGACTAATGCCGGAAGGTATCTCTGGGTATATGTGCATTTAGCATGTTTTGACTTGATATGCTTTTGAAGCCAGACTCCTGATTTCTAGACTCCTGAAATTATTCCAGGACAGGAACTGGCTTCCTCTTACCAAACTGAAAGTAGCCAGCTCTCATGCCTGGCCTGCCGGTGAATGGGAGTAGACCAATTTTAGGCTGAAGAAGAAATTTGTAGGACTTGGAGTGTGAACTTCTGTTCCTCAGCATCAACAGAGTTGTAAAGTTTAGTGCACGTGTGTGAAACACTGCTGCGTACAAGCAGTGTGACGCCTCGTAGATAGGAGCAGCCACCTCTCGTTACCCTGTTGACCTGTTGCATGGTATTGAAAGGCAGATTTCTTTATCAATGAAAAGGACTGTAGTTTTCCACAATCAGGAACTGAACTGAGAATTGAATCCTGTTTTACAGTAATCTGCAAGGTTTAAGGTCCGTTATTACTGCAGTGCCGGTGGGTGTATGACTGTAGACGGCCGTGATGCACTGAGCACCAAATACGTGGTATACTACAGGATTCACTTTATGTCCCTTAATGCTACAAGCGGGTTAACACATGGGAATGATGAGTGTCAGTGTACTAAAACTAGAAAGGGGTAGATGCCCTTTGCTGCAGATTGATTCAGCTGTACTGAGGACTGTGGGATCAAGGCCTTTCCCTTTGAAAAGGATTTGACATTTTGATGTACTGTCCTGCGATCAGTTAAATACAATCACTAGCTTGATAAAAGGGTCCCATCTTATTTTTTTTTTTCAAGTGTGAGAGTGACTCATAAACACAGCAAAGCCTCAGCCATCGAATGTGAAGACTAGCTCAGAAAAGGTTAAGTAAGATGAGTTAGAGCAGTGTCCTCTACAAAGTTGTCATTTTGGCTGTAAATCACTACGTGAGCCTGTAGAAAACCACTCTCTCTGTCAGGTAAGCTGCTGTAAATTTCTTGGAGGTAGTACTGGAGAGCTCTTGTAAAAGCAGAACTAAGTCTCTTTTGACAAATTCAAGTTGCAAGTATAGAAAGGGAGACATTTCTGATGGAGAAAATCTAGGCAAGATCTAGGCAGGAAACTGCTGTGTTACACCAGTTCTGGCTCTCAAAAATATTGTGTGTGGACCTGCAAGGCCCTATGGCACTTTTTCCTCTTCAGAAGCTTTCTTTATGGTATGAAATGCTGGATCCTGTAGTTACCAGTGGTGTCACAGCAGAAGTACAGGTAGTTCCGAAATGCTACACAGTGGATGAGTTCAGGTTGTATCATTTGTTGCTTTGGAGTTGTTGACAATGTAAGGCAATGTCTTTTTTTCATGTGACATGTGGATCAGACCTACCTGATTTGAAACAAGAAATGGGAGCTGTCCTTTACCAGTATTACTAAAAAAAGACACTGAGCAGACTTTACTGCTTAGCATTTAATGTTTATGTCCTTTACATGTGTACAAATGTATACAAATGTGCATAAATGAATGTCTGTCATATCTGTAGTAGCAAAAGTCCTTCCTATGTTCTGGAGAGATGGACCACCATTGGTATTTCCACAGGTCTACATAATTTGGACTGTCTAGTAACTTCTGGATTTCTAATGAAATTTGTGTAGGAAACTTTAACTAGTCCCTTGCCTAATAATTTTCAGACTTAACCTCAAATAACATAAATTACCCCAGTTAAGATACATAATGAACAATATAATGGCAGTAGTTTCAACCTCAGGAGTGTAGATTGTGAACTATGAAATTATCAAGCATGTCGTAAATGTAGCAAGTTCAGTGACGGTGCATGGTGTATAATGGCAAGTACTAAAAATATAAATGCTTTTTGCTAGGCTTATTTACTAATCTTCACTAAGTGGTTCTGGTAGTAGCTTGACTTTATATAGCCTTATTGGAAAATAGTTTTTGTTCTTCAAAGACCATTGCTGTATACTTGTGATGTTCTGCATCCTGGTAGCCTGTGAAGGCACTTACGACATGGTGTAAATAGTCTTTCAAACTCTGCCATGCTAAAAGGGAGAGAGAAATTATATCTACTGCAAAATAACAATATGGTCCAGCCTTTTGGAATGGCCAGGCTGTTTCTCTAGGTCCTCTTGTATAACTTGTTTTGCAAAATGGTCTTGCAGTGCTCTTTGAGTTGAGAGTGAAAGTAAGCAACTCAAAGCTTCAACTTCAAGAAGGGTAGTGTTATGGCTAACCAGTAAAATCGCTCCTTTGTGTTAAACCTCCAAAGCAGTGAACTCAGGGTGATTCTAAGAGAGTTAGAATAAATCTAATTTATTATATACACTAAGAGTATGTTTAATTTATTTCACTTTTGAAAAGATGTACGTGTATTATTTTGCTTTTCAGTTAAGTAGATTACATAGCAGTTGTTAGCATTTAAAACTGAGCGTTGCAGTTCAGTAGTCTTCCCAAAGTGTCTTGAAATATCATGTGACGGTTCTAGGAAATGTCTTAGAGGTGTTAAATACCCCCCTTATTATGAAAGCCAGTTGCAATGGTTGCTATTCTTATTGATTACCTAGTGTGTTTGCGATGCCTTTATCACTAAGCAGTTGAGTTAACTATTATAAAAACCTGCTACTAGGAAAAGTGTTGTCTTTAAGCAAGTGCTTATCATAACCTTAGGGTTATGGTTGAATATGGTTAAAGTATCCAGACCTTTGCTTGGAACATGGCTGGACATTTGCTTTGAAAAATGAGCCAGTGGCTTACATTCTGAATGATGGCTCAGTCAGTGGGAAACCCTTGAAGAAGTACACAGGAGGTGTAGTTATGGAGGCCTTGAGTGCATGACCTTGCACGGAACATACTTGGTATTCCTTTGTTTTTAAGGACTTGACTAAGTCTTGAAGCATGCAGTGCCTTTTAGTGAAGGCCCCTCCCTCTTGCCTGCTAGTGTCCCTTAGGGATGGTATAAAGAATTGAGACAGAAGAGGACTCTGGAACAAGTATGCTGTATAAGAAAGAAGATAAGTAACAAAACTGAGGTGACAGACCCTGCACAGTGCTCTCTGTGAGATAGAAAGAAAATGAAGCTTCAGAAGAGCAAACAACTGTTGTCCAGGCAGAAGCAGCTTCATGAAGTGCCTCTCTTCACATGATGCCTGGAGAGCTTCCCTAGCTTCTTATAGTATTTTATATCATAATTAAACAATACACAAGTATAATATTTATAGTATTTTGTATTATTAATTATATTAAAAAATTCATTATAAATGTTACATTAATTGTAGAATCCTAGAATGTTGTCTCTGAATACAGAATTCCTGCAGTGGGAACCAGAGCTGGCTTTGCAGGCTGTGGTCTTGCTAAAGCTGCATGGTACCCCTCAGTCTTGATAGTTGTAACTCTACTAATGATCTTGTCTTGCAAACCTCTTTACTTTGTACAGAGGTAAGTCTGTTACTATTACTCTGTTGCTATGTCGTATTTAGTGCAAGTAGATAAACTGTCAGCTTTATATTGGCAAAGTGCGAATTATAAAATATAGCTGGTTTTCTGTAGTGACTTTGATTTAAGGATAATACTGATGTAATTATATTTGAGATGCGACTTTTCAGTATTGTTACTGAAATACGGAGTGGGACTTCACTCCGTGAACGGGAAACCTCAGTCACTTCTAATGTGAGGGTGAAATGCAAATAAGTGTCTCTAACTTTGTCTTATTATTAAATAGGTTTAAGTGGAAATCCAGCAGATATAGAAAGGAGAGAAGCAGTTTTTGGGAAGAACTTTATACCTCCTAAAAAGCCAAAAACATTTCTTCAGTTAGTATGGGAAGCACTACAGGACGTTACACTAATTATATTAGAAATTGCAGCCGTAGTGTCCTTGGGCCTTTCTTTTTACCAGCCTCCAGGAGGAAATGAATCACGTAAGTAAACTTTTTTAAAAGTAGGTAACTACCTGTATTATACTACGACTCTTCTGGTCCAACATGCCTACACTGTAAAACTGATGGGAGTCAGTAAGTCATTGGAAAAGCAGCTTATTGTTCCTTACTGAGAGAAGACTATAAAACTCAACTTGCCTTAAAAGGGCAACATGAGATTTCCCTGGTCATGATCTGGTATGATTCTGACCAAAATAATGCCAAAGGTAAAGTGCAAGCAGCAGGAACAAAGAGTTGTCTTAGATCCAGTCATGTTTCTGTGCAAGTGTGTTTTTAGGTTTGCCTCAAATTTTTAAGCAATTTATAAGTTGCAGTCATGTGCTTTCTTTGGGGAATCAGCAAGTCTTACATTTTCCTTGATTTGCAATATGACACTGGTAACTTTTCTAATTCAAGAAATGAAGCTATATTTATACTTCTAAATAGAAGATGAAGGGATCTGGCCTTCATTGATCTGAATTTTTGCAATGATAATTGGCTTGTTAAGATAAAGGTAAAGTGAGAATTGTCAAGAAAGCAGAAGGTGGTTAACTAATTGTCTAGTCTGGCGTTCTTATGCCATTGCTTAACAAGGACAGGTAACTTTTTATCTGAACATAAGTTGATATAGACAGGGATGTAAGTTCTAGATGGTTTTAACGTCCTTGAGCTACTCTAGCTTTCAGGTTCTTTATCTTCTTTGTGTGTTACCGTTCCTGAAAATAAATGTAAAATTGCAAAGAAGGCTAGCACAGAAAACGTTTAGCAACTATGAGAAGGTTTCTTCTGTTTGGCAAAACTTTTTGTTGTTGAAATAACTATCTGTGTGAACTTTCTTAAACCCAAAACCTGTTTTCTACAGTATGTGGATCAGTAAATGTTGGTGAAGAAGAGGAGGAATCTGAAGCAGGTTGGATTGAAGGAGCAGCAATCCTCCTATCTGTAGTTTGTGTGGTATTAGTAACAGCTTTCAATGACTGGAGTAAAGAGAAACAGTTTCGGGGATTGCAGAGCCGTATTGAACAAGAACAGAAATTCACAGTCATCAGAGGTGGCCAAGTCATCCAAATACCAGTAGCTGACATAATTGTTGGAGATATTGCACAAGTGAAATATGGTAAACATATTTTTAAAGTTGAACTTTCTTTTATTTTTAAAAAAGGAACTGCAGTCAACATACCCAGTGATCTCTCGTAGGTGATCTTTTACCGGCTGATGGTGTACTCATTCAAGGAAATGACCTCAAAATTGATGAAAGCTCACTGACTGGAGAATCTGATCACGTTAAGAAATCTCTGGACAGAGATCCTATGCTGCTGTCAGGTGTGTAACGTTTGACAATTCTTAAAGTGGTTTGTTCTGGGGGTAAACTGGTGATTTAAAATTTTGAAGTTAAAATCTGGCAAACTGGACCTTATCTAGGCCGACTTCTGAAAACTCTAAAAAACTGTACAACTAGTACAAAACCTTTTCAAAGTGAGCAGGCTCTTAAAACTGACAAACGCTTTGTGTAGTTGCTTATGGTTTTATTTTTGAGATAGTTTTGGCAATGAAAGCTCTAGGGGAGCACAGTGGTATATATACTCATCTTATGGTTTCGTCAACATGACATTTGACAACTCATTTCCTTTGTGCTCTGCCATATAACTACTCAAGTGTCAGTGGAAAACCTGATTCAATCTTTCAGGTACACATGTGATGGAAGGCTCTGGAAGAATGGTAGTTACTGCTGTGGGTGTGAACTCTCAAACTGGAATCATCTTTACCTTACTTGGGGCTGGAGGAGATGAAGAGGAGAAGGAGAAGGAAAAAGAGAAGAAGGATAAGAAAAGTAGGCATAAACTGAAATCCCTGGGGAGGGAGGGATGAACTCATGAATGTTACTGGATAAAAACATGTTCTTGTCATAGGAAGCCAGAAATCTTTTTTTAAACCTCATAGTTTCAGTAGGTTTCACAGGGGAAAAACCTTAGGTCCAGTGACCTGAGAGTACACCACTACTAATGACTCTTGTCATGTGGATTTTTAATTAAACTTCAGATCTCCTTGATCAATTAGAGGTTGTACAGTTTACAACTCATAACCGGCCATACCATGTATAAATTGTTAAAACTGCCATCTTGTGTAACTGCAAAGTACTTTCATGTCTAGTAGTATTTATTTATGGCAAACAGGTTATTACCGATAACTCAACCTAGTAAGTATCTAGTTCTGCCTTTGACAGATAGAAGGTGTCCTTTATAGGGAGTAGTTCTATGATGCTTGAAGGGGAAAAGCTTGTATCATTGATACTGCTGAGTTTGTGGATATCTTGAGCATAGTAAGGCTGATTTTGATAAAGATGAGCAGACAGCTGCTTCTGCCACTCCTTTTCTTCCAGAGTTAAAACTTTGAATGCTCAGAGATATACACAAGGCAAATCCCTAGTGGCATTTCTCTGTAAACTTTATTTTTGGAGCAATGAGGGTCTTGTTACCCCAGAGCATTTTGGGGCCTTTCTGTGAAGTGTGAAATGGGCTATCTTCCATATTCTGAAGGACTTGCTCAGTAGCTGGAATTGTAAGGTCACTTATCTAAGCCATAGCCTTCATCTTGAGAATCAGCGTTTAGAAATGTTAACTAGTAATGTTTTAATAATAGCTCTCAAGGCATCATGGATTCTGTGATTCTAAGGCATGTTAATGACTGAGCCTCGCCACAGCAAAAATCTTTCTAGAAACTGTTGTGAGGTCTACTGGATGGGACTGAGTCTGAGGATCCTTGGCAGAAAGATACACTTTTTCATCAGAGGAATATGAAACAGTAATGGAAAGCCATACAGAAATGTCCTGAGGAATATCAGTGGCCTTCAAACTAAGGAGGCAATTGTTGAAATGTGTGCTCTGTGCAGGAATTGAGATTGAACTGTGCTTTTTGTCTTGTCCAAATCCACAAATACTTTATAATTCTGACCCTTCTTGAAACTTTATTAGTGAATTTCTTCAGAAGTAAGTTAGAAGAAGAATTGAAAGTTCAAAATTTAGTTTCAAGCTCAAGCGTGGTGGTAAAGACTGGAAGTTGACCTACAACACTTCCAGGGATTAGTATGGAACAGTTATTATCCTTTGCTTTTCCTTACAGAGGGAGGAAAAGGAAGCAAGCAATGGTACCAGCTGTTCCAGGAGATATGGAGAAGCTTATAGCTTTTATTAATATTCTGCCAGTGTTTATTAATCTATAAGCAGAAGTCTTTTTGAAAAGTAGTGTTTCAGTGTATTCTAGGGCCTGAACACTTGCGGGTTCTT